AATTGTGCTGCACTCTGTTGGTAAATCTTATAACTTTTTAATACTTTTGCAAATCACAGAACAAACCTTTTTATTTGAAACAGCTTACTAAATTATTTTATTCCCTTTAAATATGAATACTCGTAAGGTTAACATAGGAAAACTACACACCCACTGGGGTGGAGCCCGAAATGATTTTTGAGATAAGAATATGCCTATATGTTAATCAGGAATGTAAGCTATAATTATGCAAAATTTCAGCCCAATCCGTCCAGTAGTTAATGCGTGATTTAACTTCGAGCAAACAAACAAACACACAAACTTTCACATTTATAATATTAGTTAGATTGTAAACATCACAATCTTAATACAAGAAATGATTTAACCAACTTACTATACAGTAAATTATTTACGTTAGCAGTATTGAAAACAAGTGGGAAGTACAATAAGGATTTTCGTCAATATTCGTCAGCCTATGGTCAATCATGTAAATTAGTCGTACTCATAAGCACGTAAAAACCCCCCTACGCTTTTGATCTGATTGGATATCGTTCATATTGGATCAACAATACATACAAATTTAACATAACCTATTGGTATTTTACATATTGATATAACAATAAATACAAATTTGTATTTGATATTGATTCAACAGGAAAAGAAACAAACAGCAAAAGAATCAACTAAGTAACAGTCACAATATACATGGAATATGTTATTGGGGTTACATTTGTCTGCTCCTTCATTATTTTTAGCTCTTACAACTGTATTTGAAAATTCATCGAAACCTCATCAAACAGCTTTAGCAAAATATTTGTTTCCATCCCTGCATATTATAATTAACATGTTCATGTAAGAGATTCCCGTTTCTCCCTCGCCCCTCCCAACTACCTGGCCCGCCGTCGTGGCTTTCGTTCCCAGGATTATAACTTCTCAAACCCTCGCTAATTGCCGTGGCTTACGTCCCCCCAGCTTATAGAGATAAACATTCGTGGCTTTCATCCTGCGTCCCTTGAGAGAATAAACCAATCTGACAATAGAAATAAAGCCATCTGGGATACTATAAGAAAATCTTCCAACTAAAACTAACACAGCAAAATAAATCAATCTTCTTAATGAAAATGGGGAAATAGTCAAAGACCCACAACAAGTTGCTAACGTATTTAATATATTTCTGCATCAGTTAGTAATCCATCTGATAAGAAAGGCAAGTCGAATTACATAAAGCCTATTCCAGATTCACTTTTTCTTAAGCCAACAAATAAGACCGAAGTTGAACAAATCGTAAACGAGATGAAAAATAAACGGTCAGCAGGAACAGATGAACTGTGACCCAAACTGTTAAGATAAGTTGCAGACCTCGTATCCAGCCCTATAGCTCATTTAATCAATGCTTCCTTTGAATGTAGCCAGTTTCCAGATGCCCTGAAAACGTACATTATCAAGCCACTTCATACAAAAGGAGATAACATTCTTTGCGACAACTACAAACCTATAGCCATTTTTACACTTATTTTACACATTCATCATCTATATCGAAATTGTTCGAAAAGGTAATACTTCTAAGACTATTGGAATTTTGTACAAAAAAAATATATTATCTCACCGAAACAATATAGATTTACAAAAACGAAACCACTACATATACAATGACCAAACTTATCTCAAATTTGGTAAATTCATTGGATGCAGGTTAACATACAATGGGCATCTTCTTTATTTGAGCAAATCATTCTAGTACAGGTAAAACTCACCTAAGAAAACATAAAAATTGGTCCGTTCATGAAACTTGCAGGAAACGTAGTTATTACCATTAGGTTTTTAAATCTGAAGAGTCTCTAGTGATTGTGGGGGTGGAAGTACCATTTTATGGGGGTTTATGGGGGTAGTGATTTTGAGAAAATTGTTATTTATGGGATCTCAAGCAAGTGGGGTGTCGTTTTCTATGTTTCTTAGGATGCAGAATCGAAAAAAACATAAAAAACAATACAACCGACAGTTAATTAGAAAAAGGCTAATTTATTCATGAAAAACGAAATATGACCAAAATTAATTATGGTAAAATAATCCAGTTAATATTAATTATTACAAAATTGATCATGAATCTGTGTCATATGTTAAGTTGTGAGGAAAATTAACCAAGAAACTGGTAGATACGCCTCTTTAACCACTACGTGTTATATTGTTCATCAGCTACTAATGCATCATCACCATCCATGGAATCGTCAGGGTCTCTAACTCGTTCTTCTCCATCATCGTCTTGACTTGACACTGACAGCTTAGTAGTGGGGGTGGGTAGCAGAAAAATATTTCAGTTCTGGCAGTGATCCTGCAACTTAGGGTTAAGATAATATATCCATGAATGTAAAACCGCCCAGATCCCAATTTTTAAGGACCTTGGTCGCCCATAATGACTTCACCAATATGGCGCTCGTAAGAGGATGCTGGGTCGCTATGAATTGGTTATAGTACCAAAATGCCTGAACCGATATTAATGAAATTTGGCATACAAGCTAAGTTCATGAACAATTTGGCATACAATTGCATCTGATGGGCATCTATTCCTAACATGAGCTGCTTTTGCAACTGCTTCTGCCCAAAACGTTTGAGGAAGATTTGCTTCAATGAGCAAACATCTTGCCATGTCGTTTAATGCACGATTCATCCGTTCAGCCACTCCATTTTGTTGAGGCGTTCCGCTGCATGTTAATCTTCTCTGAATACCATTACAATTAAAATCCATCGAACTCTCTGTTAACATACTCTCCTCCATTGTCTGTTTGAAGATATTAAATTTTTCTTCCTGTAAAATTTTCTACTTTGTTCTTGTACTTTTTGAAAAAAAAAAACTAATGCATCACTTTTCTTCTTCAAAAAGTAAACTTCAACCCATCTTGACCTATCATCAATAAAAGTAATGAAATATTGAGATTTTCCATGTGACTCACTTTTCATTGGTCCACAGATGTCAGAGTGAATAATGTCCAGCACTTCAGATGTTCTTTCACTTTTAGGAAAGGGTCTTTTTGTAAATGTTCCTTGAATACACACCTCGCGTTGTGGAATAAGCTCTTTTGTGTTCACTTTAATACCTTTAACCATATTTAAATTGATTATTCTTTTCAAGTCTCCAAAGTTCAAGTCTCCAAAATGTTGGTGTCAAGACAATAGACTTGATTTTTCACAGCTTATATTAATTTCTTCACTACTCTCTTGTACGTAATAAAGTCCATTTAACCTATTCGCATGGATCTTTGTCTGTCCATTCTGATCTAATATCAAAGCAGCACCTTTTTTAAACAAAACTTGATACCCATGGTCAGTAATTTTAGCTACAGACATCAGGTTTGTTCGAAGTTCTGGTACATACAAAGTGTCATAAAGATTAACGCTTAGATTTGTACTCCCATTTAAAATGTTCATATTAACTGTTCCAACCCCTCTGCATCAGTTGATGAAATGTTGGAAGAGATATACTTCTTCCATTTGCAGGCTTGTACTTGGTAAATTTTATTGTTCACACGAGTCATATGTGAAGTGCATCCACTGTACAAACACTACTGTATATCTTTCATTGATAAGTTTCCAAAATAACAGTCATCTTCTACGGAAGAATTAAGTCCTACTTCTTCTAGTTTAGCAATCGCTACGTTTTGTTGATCTTTATTTGCTTTGGGACAAAATTTTGCTTTATGCCCGATCGCTTTATATATAAAGCATCGAAACGGAAAATCAACTGATTCCGTTTTATTTCTATAAGAGTCTTTGAAAATCTTCCTGGTTCTGAAATTTTCCTAGCAGAGCTTCACTACTCTCTTTCTTACCATGTTCTTTTCTCGCTTCCGACTCTTCTACAATTTTTATTTTTAAAGTTTCAGGAGAAGGCAGTGCATCTCTAGTTTCAATAGCAAATTTTATGTTTTCAAATTCATCTGACAGGGAATACAAAAGAATAATTGTCAAAAGGTCCTAATTAATATCGATTTCCATTCCTTTTTATTTGTCCACCACATCAAAAAACATATTCATGTCCAGTTAGTCTGACATCATAATCAGGTGTCAGTTTTGCCAAAATTAGCTTCTTTAACAAAAAGGCTTTCCTTGCTGGTCCACTGGAATCATAGATGCTTTTTAATTTTTCCTATATCTCTGCTGAAGTGTTACGTCCTTTCACTTGCTTAAATCGCTAGGGCTGATAGAGAGAATTATATCTGCCTTTGCTTTTGCATCAGTGATTAGCCAAGCAGTAATTTTTTCACCTTCTTCTAGATGCCTTTCAATGGTACCTAACACATACCCAAGTAAATCATTTTTAACTAAAATTGCTTCTATCTGCATTTTCCATGTGTCATAATTATTTCTGTTCAAAAGTTCAATGGGATAACTCATTTCTTTCCATATTCCTCACTTAATTGAGTCTCTTAATCTGTTAAAATTGAATATTCTTTGATTACACTCACACAATAATAACTTCGATTTACTTTGTTATCATAACAAAACCAGATATATAACATATGATTTTATAAAACAGGTAATAAGTAAATTGGATGATGTTGTAACTCCATCAGTTATGCCGTAAGTATAAACGTGTTTCTATGTGCCAATTCTGAGATCGAAGTAACAAGTATTCAAACTTTACTCATATATTATATAGGATTCTAATACATATATTTTTCGACTTTATAAATGGTCCCGGTGGGACCATTGGCCATTTGTTAATTTTTGTAAAATTACGTGTTTTCAAAAAATATGTTCTTTGTTTTAGATGTATCGATAAAATAATCAATACTAATATATTCAGCAAATATCTGCTATTCAGTGGTATATGGTGGTATCACCCGCATCCAGATAGGAACAAAACTAACCTCGCTATGATTTCCTAAACTTTTCGTGTTTAGCGCTTGTGCAACACTACAAGCTACAAGTGGAAGTCGATTCGCGCGGAAAATTTCATTCAAATTTAAATTGCATGTTTCTATTGGACAACGCATAACTCATCCAACACAACCTGTTTGTTTCAGGCGACGACAGCAAGAATCATCGGTTTCCTGAAGGTAAGATCTCCTAATCTTAAGGTAAATTTTAAAAATCTAAACCAATACTACACTAGATACACACAAAACATCAGATGGCAAGGTAGAGAGGAAGAACGTGAAAAGAATTAAACCTTACACAACTGGTTATCCCCTTGGAATTATTATGTTCTGCTGGAAAAATATTAAGTATTTTAGCAGTGAACTCATCTAGTTTACACGCAATCATCTCAGAGGCTTGCCTTCTTTGCTGCTTATTTTACAGTTGATTGTGCTAAGGAAGCCATTGAATAAAATACTTTATAAACGGTGATATAAAGTCAAACAGAAACTCCGAGTTTCTGCGAAATAATTTGTATAAACTATGTCCACCAACAAAAAGATATTCCAAATAAAGTGTAAAAAAACTTTCAGAAAAATCATATATGAGTGAAATGTTTTAGAGTGGTGACGATTATTCTTTGGCTATGATCAATAACTTAATCCTTGGTGGGTTGCTCATGGATGATAAGTTAATTGCCATCACCAAATGCAGTTATACTAAAACTGTACAAAAACTAGTTCTGTAAACTAAGTAAACAATACGGTAATGTTAAGCTAGGCTAGTTAAAAACGATCGTAGGTAAATGTTAACATAGTGTTTTAACTCCATTTTTTTAAAACTCAGTCAAAGATAAAATAAATAATATGAATCATTGAATAACTATGCAGGAAATATTGTTTGGCGAGCATTTCAAGAGAATTGATAATGGTAAGGAGTTAATGAATAAGCCAAACAACATATACGTATAACCTCTCTTGTGATCGCTTCACTTCTAGCTTGTTCCTCCATTCTTCAGTTGTTTGAATTTGGGTTAGTCAACTAATTATCGGTGACTATGTGTTCAGTGGCAGGAATAGTACCAAAAATAAGCATTCATCTACTATTAACAATGTTTTCCAAAGAATCAAATCAAGGATTACCACATTTATGAACAAAAATATATGTCTGTAAAAAGAATTTATGTTGTAATACATTTTTAAGTACCACTCAAAAGTGAGCAGAAATTAAAAATTCAGATCAGAACATGGAAATAAATGCGTATCAAGAATCCTTCGTTATAAGCAGTCCTCACAAGTCCTGCACTTCATTCTCGCTCCAATTAAAACTTCGCCTTATTCAGCTGTTAACGGCTCCTTCACTTTATTGTGGTTTCTTCATTAACGGATAATATAAAATTATTTTGTTTTTTCGCTTATCCACATTTTCTATTTTAGACATTAGCCTACTAGCTGGACCGACAGACGTCGTCCTGTCCTAATGTGGTTTTATGTCAAATGCTCGTTCATTTTCAAGATGAGCTCGACGCATCGCTCAATCGCGTCCTGGTTGAAGTTTGTTTGCTATAGGCTGGGGCTCTTTCGCTGCGCTCACTTGCCTTCAGGTTTAGCTCGTTCGCTACGCTAACTCGCCTACAGGTTGAAGTTCGTTCGCTACGCTCACTAACCTTTTGGTTGCAAATTATCTGTTGTTATAAATTAAAAAGAAAATAATAGTGCTGCACCCTGTTGGTAAACCTATTAACTTTTCAATGCTATTGAACATCACAGAATCAAATGGTTTAGTTGAACCAGCTGTTAAGATTCTTTAATTCCATTTAGGCCCGGTTTCCCCAACTCATTTAAACTTAGTTTTAAGTTAAACGGCGATTTAAACTTAGTTTAACTTTGATTTGTGTTTCCCCAAATTTAAACTAGGTATTAATCTAAGTTCAAACTAAACCACCTCTTGACTTGGTTTAACTACTGGGGATAAAATAAACTGAGTTCAAATTAGTAAATTACAACAGTAACATAACCTCAAATCAAAACAAAACGTAGGGGTTAAAACAATAAAAATTAAAGCAACTACAAATTCATTTGGACGAAAATATGCTTGGTTTAGGGCTAGCTTATAAGTTAAGTTTTATTTATATTGTAATTTATTGTTTTATTAAGTTCTTTTTTTACATTTGATTTTATTTCAAGTTAGGCTACTTTGATTGCAGTACTTGCCCCTTAACTCAAGCGGAAGAGTTAATATACATTTTAGAAGAAGTAGAAGATAAAGATTATGACACTTTAGTACCTAGAACAAGAGAGCCTACTTAAATAAGGGATAGAATTTACTATTTCAATAAATGGAATGAATCTGAATTTGGCAACAACTTATAATAACTTTATAACATAACCCTAAACAGTGACGTTATTCTAGCTGCATTCGCATTTTGCTGTCTGCTCTACTGAGTTGTAGCGTAGCGTTGTGGTGGTTGTAGGAAACACTAGCCCAAAGCCCACCGAAGATTCCTTACAAACACACATTCAGGATTGCCAACCGCTTGAATTGCCGTTTATCTAAAACGAAGCCAGTAAAATGTTGGAGAAACCGAACACACATTTTAAACGGAGTTTAAAAATAAACTAGTTTATTATAAACGTAGTTTACACCATTTTGGGGAAACCGGGCCTTAAATATAAGTACTCATAAGGTTAACATGGGAAACGGATCTGCACCAAACTTCACACAAACCATCCTTGAATAATGCTTAATAATGCCTGAAAGTTTCATTACAATCTGTCTAGCAGTTTCAGAGTTCATAACGTCCAAATATATATATATATATATATATATATATATATATATATATATATATATATATATACAAACTTCCTCTTTTATAAATATAGATTAACATAACTGGTTAACAGTAAACTGTTACTTTAAATAATCATAAAGTTTATTTGTTCTTAAATTCATATAATTATTGCACGAGTTATTAGATTATTATTTACTATCGGTGTTACTTAAATCTTGGGAATACGGATTATCTATGAGTAGAAAAATCCTCGCTCAATATTTTTCAATATTCTTACTATAGATAAAGCACATTTTTCTGCGCCGTACAACTCATATTTTGAATATGAGTTTTGTTTATTTGTAAAAACTATTATCTCGTAATGTCGGTGATCAACTTTATCCAACATAGTTTTACTAAAACTCCGTAAGACACATGACAAGCTATAAAATATCTGTTAAGTACAGATACAGGCATACAGGTTTGGTGTCTCGATAATTTTTCGTTTATTATATCCCAGAAATCAACAACATATTAACTACTGACAATATCGAACATTTCGTAATGAAGAAAGCTTCATACAAAATTCGGATGTGCAATAAGCACGAATATTTGTTATAGGGTCCTTATTTACTTCTTTAGTTTATTAAAATTGTAGTTTACGCAACGATTGCGTAAACTTATCATGCCATGTAGTGAATTAAAAAACTTCCTCGTAAATTCTAATTACACGAGTTGCTTACACTACTTTACCCACGATAGTAGGAAGGGCTATACTTTGGCCCACAAATCAGAAAGCAGCATATCGACCTCACTCCTCCCCTTAAGGCACGCCCCCTGGTGCCCCACGTGTTCTTACCTCGCTTTAGGTGTACCCACTTGGTCTAACCTTAGTTTTATTTTCGTGCCAAATAAGGTAACCTCACCTTTCCACCAATTCCCGCCAAATTACACCAACGTGATCTAACCTAACTTTTATTTTTGCGCCAAACAACATAACCTTACCTTCCCACAAATGGAATGTTACTTGGAGGGCAGTAGTGGCAATATGCCGGTATGACCTCACTTTAGGCACGTTTTTCCCATAAGGATAACATGGTAGGCATTTTTGGCCACCAATCCTAAAAATCCTGCCCACGGCCTATACTCCTATATTAATGTTCAATACCATTGTACAACTTCATTACTATTTCAAATCCACATGCATTCACATGTATATTCTCAAAATCATCAACTTGACAGTGCGAGGTTTGTACGCGAACTCGTGCGCGCTCCCGGCTCACGGCGCGCTCCCTCGGACATCCTTAGTGGAAACCCATGAGTTCTGGCTACTTGGGAATCCAAGCCATTTGACAAACAATAAATCACCCTTTCTCCTAATTACCTTTTCTACTAAATACATGTCCTTATACTTGGTCTTTAACAACTCCTCTGTATAGAATCCTCCTCTGATTATATTACCATTTTCATCTTTCAAGATATAATTCACAGGCTTTGTATTTTTAACTTCTACTATTGTAAATAGCTCCCCTGTCCAATTCGGGGTATATCCTTTACTAAAAACATGTTTATACTTGGAAATTCTCACACTATCACCTACCTTATATCATGGCTTTTTAACTTGCACTACTTTAGAAGTCAACCTCTCATGCACATATTTACTATTCTTAATATTCACTTGGTTAGGCTTCATACCTATAGATCTATGCCCCTTATTATTATATTTTCGAATTAACTTTGGAAGTAAATCCAACCATTTATAACTCCCCTGAGCACTAAATTCCCTATATAACCAATTCTTTAAAGTTCTCTGAAACCTCTCCACAATTGCAGCCTTAGTTGTAGAAAATGTGTGATAGTGATTAATATTTAATTTTTTCATTAGTTTGATAAAATATAGATTAAAAAATTCTTTTCCATTGTCAGATTGAATGTTTTTAACCCCCTTTGGTAGAATGGTTTTAATGGCTTCTGTAACCACCAACCCTGTCTTATTCTTTAGCGGAGCAGCATAAGCTTTTTTAGAAAATGTATCTATTAAAGTTAATATATATTTATTGCCAGAATTTTCTCTAGCATAGTTTTGCATATCAATTAAATCTATTTGTACGGTTTCGTTTATACCTAATACTTTAAAAGATCTTCTAATGAAATTCTTTCTTGCAGGCTTATGAAGTTCGTATGCAATTTCATTCATTTTTTATAACATCACTCTTTCCTTTAACTGTAAATATATTACCATTAGCCCCAATCAATAGATTATCTTCCATTCTTTTAAATACATAGTTTTCTGGTATATATGGTCTATTATCTATATACTTAAATCCACTCAAAGATGTAGGGTCTGCAACTAATAAATCAGGATTGTATTCCATCAAATTAAATTTTCTTCCTGCATATACAAATTTTGATCCATCATAATACATA